GTTTGTTTGTTTGTTTATTTATTTGCTTGTTTATTTATATGTATGTATATATATTTGTTTATTTATTTGTTTGTTTGTTTATTTGTCTTAGAAACAAGAGTTTAGTGAGGTTGCATTTTCTATTTTTATTTCACCTGACTACTACGAATAACTTGCTCCATCTTTCTTACATTTCGTTCCAGTTTGAACCCATTGTGTTAGAATGTGCTCTATACTTGTTGAAGCTATCAGGACTCTCTCGTTCTCAACTGGGCAGTCCAATACATATTGCCAGAACCTTGTCTTCAATGGTAAGTCTGCCTTTACCATATAAACACAATTTCGCATGGTCATATGGCAAAATGTTATTTAAATTATTCATATAAATCTAATGTACTTTAATACAGATGAATAGCAAAGATAACGACGGTGTGTTGGTTGGTAATTGGACTGGAGTATACGACGACGGTACGTCACCTACTGAATGGTCAGGAAGTGAAGCCATCTTTGAAGAATTCATGGAAACCAAGAAACCTGTGAAATATGGTCAATGCTGGGTATTTGCAGGGCTGGGCACATCAGGTGATTTCATTTCGTCTTTCTTTCTTTGTATATAGCTCCAGGCTTGCTCGTCTACCATATTTTAAGGGTAACGCCAATGAATTTCATGGTTACATGTAAACTCAGCATGAACGAAACCATGTATGTTTCTTTCATAGTTTTCCGAGCGCTTGGCATACCAGCACGCACAGTAACTACCTTTGAAGCTGGTCGAGATAAAGACTCTAGTCTGACAGTCGACACGTACTTCAGCGAAGAAGACGGCAGTGTACTGGAAGATATGTCTTCAGAATTTGTGTGGTAAGGGTTTGGTTGTAAATGTGGCACAACTATTTGTTATTTCTCAAGATGAATTGAATAAACAGAATAGGAACAAAGGTATATTTCAGTGTTCTTATGTTTTTTTCAGGAACTTCCACGTCTGGAACGATTTATGGATGGCACGTGCTGACATGCCCGATGGCTTTGGGGGATGGCAAGCGCTTGACACATGTCCACAGGAAATGAGTGGTGGTAGGTACAATTGGCAATACACTGATTTGCATGGGTTACTCGAAATGCCTAGTAGGGAATAAAAGTATGATATCACCTTCATAGCCAGTCAAAATGTGTCTAATATTAAATGCTGTGTATAGCGAGTTCATCTGATAATATGATCGGTCACAGTGATATGTAATATCCACTTGGCGGGCAATATACCGTGTAATATTCATTTTTATTCAATGTCATGTGACCGAGTTTCAACCAATCATAGCAGGCGTAATAGCAGTGAGATGTGATAATTATTAATAATGTGTAACAAAACACAACTAACTACAATGTTAAGACGTGCGTTAAAGCAAAGACACTTTTCTAGTGTCTTTGGTTAAAGCACACAACATTTTACTTGTTTGAACTATCACATTTGAATTGATAGTACGCACAAGTAATCCAACACGCATGTCAATTGGCGAAGGTATTTTTTTTAACGAGATCTGTTCTCCGCGTCACGGTGACCAAAACAATGTATGTAATTTCACATTGTACCTATAATTGTTCCATATCGCAATCATTCCAGTCTAATTTGAAGACTAATCAGAATCAAAATTTGTTGTCAGGTTTACATCGATGTGGTCCTGCCTCATTAAGTGCCGTTAAGCAGGGACAAGTATATTACAACTATGACACAATGTTCATGTTTGCCGAAGTCAACGGCGAGGAAGTCGACTGGATAGTCACGGCATCTGGCAAGGTCAGTAAATAATAATTTGTCCATTCTTTCCTGAAAACTCATTGACCATGTGTATGTACATGTACGTCCAATATAACCTAATTATGCGATTGTTGTAATGATTACAGATGAAACCTGCTGATGTTAATAGCAGACGTATTGGTAAGAAAATAAGTACAAAAGCAGTTGGTGAATTTCAACGCCAAGATGTTACTGACGTGTATAAATATCCTGAGGGTAATACATTTTCCTTTGTCACGTACGGGTTGCTATATATATATATATATATATATATATATATATATATATATATATATATATATATATATATATACTTACCCACAAGTAAAACGCCCACAATCAGTCAGTAAATCAGTCCGCGAGTACGTTGCAGAAAGTAATCGTTGATAGCGCACTAATCGTTTGATAACACCATTATGGGGATATTCTGTTAAACTATACCTCATTACTCCATGCCTGAATTTTGTATAAATCTTTGACGACTATTATTTATTTAGTTACATTAATTGACATTATTTAACTGTTTTTTTTTTTTTTGTGAACAAAATATAAAACTTAAAATCTCTTATGAATACAGGAACAGAAGAAGAACGCGTGGCTGTACTAGAAGCAACAAAACATGTCAGCTCTGGCAAACGACTATACAACGTTGGTAAAAAAGATGTAAAATTCCGAATCAAGACTATGGATGATGCAATGGTAGGGGAAGATATTGAGTTCCGAGTCAAAATCGTTAATGAAAACAAAGACGAATCGCGTGAGATTTTTATCAACGTGACATGTTATTCTGTTAGATATACAGGGGTTAGAGTTCACGAAATATTCAAGAACAAGGAAGAGTTCACTCTGGCGGCTGAAGAGAGTAAGTTGATAGTCTTTGACTAGAGAATTGTCCCTTTGTTTGTAACACTATACAACCTCAGTCAAAAAAATATTGGAAACTGTATCATGCAAATGCGAAACGAGACACGCGTTTTTTGTATGGTTAAACGTAGCGGTGTCCTATATAGAAGTACTTCGGCACACCTAATATGGGGAATGGCCAATCATGATGTAATTTTGAGATTAGCACCCTAACTTCCATCAATTCGTACAATATACAACCGCTGCACCTCTGTTACGAGCATGGAAAAGATCATGCCTGAAAACTTCAAACGACGGAATCATACACCATTTTGTTCGAATTAAGTTTGTTAATAGTTTTGAGACGCAACAGTGAAGGAGACAAAGTTTGGATCGATACAATAGTGTAATTTTTATATGTTCGAACAACGATATGTCAACTTCAATACTGCAACTATAAATATTTTGTAGCAGATTATAGACTCTGCCATAAAATGATTTAGGTCAACGTTACATGATTGGCAAAATATATAATAATAGTAATAATAATAATAATAATAATAATAGTAATAATAGTAATAATAATAGTTTATTACGCAACTGTATTCTGCTGTGGATACAGTAAGTTAAAATAGTGTAAAATAAAGCAACTAAAATAACTACAAATTTGAAAGTTCTAATAACTACAAAAAATCAGAAAGTAATGAAACATAATGTATTTAGCTATACTTAAACACGTTTCTTGATTTTTGTTTCATAAAATTATAGCCAAATTCCACAAGGTAGTCATCTCAGCAGACGAATATCGTGATAAACTGACCGAATCAGCAACTCTAAAATTCTTCGTTCTCGCTGGAGTTCGCAGTACAGGCCAAACCTTCACCGGTCATTACGACTACCAACTGACAAGACCACAACTCAATGTTGAGGTAAGATGAAACATGTACTGATCTTGAAACTTAATTTTAACAGTCTATCACGAAAGACCGTAAGCCTATCTAGGTGACCTCTTGTAATCCGCCATCACTGCGGCAAAAATACTTTGTTCAATGATTGTTTACGTGCTGGAGGAAAAACACAGCACACGGCGCGGACTGTTTTACCTCGCCTCCGGCTGGGAAGTATGTACTCTGTATTCGCCATCGGGTGGGTAGCCAATCATGGGAGTTGAACGCGCAAACCTTCTGACGTCTATCAATGGATGTATCATCACTGAAACTAGTACATGTTCCTCAAATTTAGACCTTTCTTGGATATACCAGCCTAGATACATATGTTATGAGCTCTGTCCCACATATCACACATAGGAAAGTGCACATATTCTGGCCTATGGCTAATGGTTTCTCAAAAGGCCAGAGTTTATACACCTTTCCTTCCTCCCAGGTTCCTCCAGAGGTACGACAGAAAGACAGTTTCGAAGTACAACTGAGTTTCACCAATCCACTGCCTAAGTTATTACAAGAGTGCTTGTTCCGCCTGGAATCCCCTGGAATGGAAGGGCATATGAAGATCAAGTACAGGTAAAAACACATTAACGTTGAAATGACGTCGGTATTATTTTGTCCTACAAATTGAAGTTGTGGTGTGGTATGTGGCAGAATTATATCCGAAATTACATCCATCGTACAAATACACAGATGTGTGCAATAAGAACAGCATCACAATAAATTATAGTTGAATATAGTCAACAATATACAGTATCAAACATCAATAATATAAGTTCTCGTCCAAATTCCACCAATTCCATGAATTCCACCAAATGATGAAAAAATATCGTTTTACGCCCCTTCCATTTTAGACACCAATTAGTACTTTCCCTGTCGTTGGAAAACACGCTTAGATCTGTTATTAACGATATCAGGGAGTTCTTTAATTGTGAAACTATCATTTCATCATCGTCACTATTATAATAAAACTATCACTATTTGAACTATTTAAGATAAAAAGAGTATTTTGTTGTTGTTGTTTTTTTTTGCACAGGGACGTCGCGCCAAGTGGAGAGGCATTGCTACGTGTCAAATTGATTGCAAAACGTCCTGGTACAAGACAGATCATAGCAAGTTTCCATTCCAAGCAACTCACTGGCTTGACTGGTATGGCTACCTTCAAAGTGACAAACGTACAATAAGTTACAATGTCATTGATGAGTTTAGGATGACGTCAAATGATTTTGCTCCTGTATTATGCAAAGTTATTACTTGTTATATTTGAATATTTACCCACGAATATGGTTTATTTATAAATAGGGTATAATAATAACCTTCCCTATGAATCGCGCCCTCTAGCGACAAAAGGCTTCTGTAATTAATAATTTAATGCCTCAGTCAACAGACCATTTTCCCAGTAGCGAGAATGCAGAATGGTGTGCAGAAATACGCCCGCTTTGTCATGGCGGAAAATATAATTTTGCTGATATTCGATAGAAGGGAATTTTAATTTTGTGATGTTGATTGGCACACCCAGAAGCACAATATCACGCGTGCAAGTTTACGTTACACCACAAAACATAATGAATCTTCGACTTCCGGGAAAGTCGTTTATATGCGGTACCAAAGAACTTTATAATAAATATAGTTACAAATAATGAATCGTTAACCAACCAGGTAATATGTACTGTCACCTAAAGTTTCTGAGAAGACCATTGGGCGTTATGTTATAATCATATACAACTATAGTACATACATGGTGACATTTTTCTCATTTGCTTTGTTGACCGAAAATATCGAGCTGATAAAAATAACTAACAATACAGTATATTCTCGTACAATATATTTGCACAAATCAGAGTTTTTTATAGCAGAAATTTACGTCATCCGTGAATAAATAGAGCTTTTTGACAACACTATAGAAATTAAAGTCGACATTTCTAGTTTGGTGTAGGTCAAATCTGCAAATGCATCATGGCGGAATTTGATTTTCATTGAGAGTTTGCGTATGATCCAACAACTTCGTCAGTGGAGATAATGACAATTTTGACTTCGATTGTGTTCCAACACACTCAAATGTTTTTAGTTTCGTAAATTCTGGTGGTACGTAATTAATATTGGAATAAAATGTGCATATTGTTTGTGATCATTTCTGTTTCTTCATTGTGAAAATCAATGACTAATTTCGTAATTTGATTTTCCCCCAAAGACGTAATCTGTCATTTGATGAATCAAATTTTTCATTTGCACTCTTTTTCGAGAGGGGTGCTCGGGTAAGCGCCCACCCATAAAAAATAGCGATTTTCTGAGTTGAGGCCCCTGGGCGCTAACGCGGGCGAGTACGGTAATAACAAAGTTGATTTTGATATTAACTTTGATCATCGTGAACATGAGAATATGTTTTTGTCATGATTTTGTTTAACATGTATTCAGATACTCGAAATACAAGTCGAAATATATGGTACATGTTCTTTTATGTGTTCAAGCGTAATTCCCGGCGATTCACCATCAATGCCATTGCGCATGTGTACTAATATCTTTTATATGTATTATAATACCTTTGTAGACCTGCCTTGCCATAAATTGCACGTTTCTGCAAACTCGATGTAAACCTAACCCACACCACCAATCGCACTCCACCCCACCACGAAATAGAACGTCGCTCGTGTCATGAAAATATTAAACTGACTGGGTAATTAGATGTCACACTGTCATATAGTCATTGACAATGATACGACGCACCACCAGTATAGTTGTAAGTACGACACAGAGTCTGGCGTATGTCTGTTACCAAATCGAATAGCAATAAATTCTCTGTTACATTCCATGGTTATTCGAGGCAGAAGGGCGAAAACATTTCAGTGCGGCGTATACGTAACCACGCGTGTAAGTAACATGGTTTTACACGAATTCCAAACGCATATGCATGCTGCACGCTTTCGGGTTGAGCACGTGACGTCAATATTGGGAAGAGGAGAAAGGTCTATGGCAAGATGATATGTGAGGCGAAGCCGAACACATCGCGTCTATGCCCTTCTCCGAATCCAATGTGACACTGAGGAGATTTATTATTGTTGTTATAAATCAGCACCACAAGAATAAAAAAAAATTATAAAGTCAGATGCAGGGCTGCACGTGGAAAGAATGAAAATGCGGCGTTTTAATAACAGACAGTATACTATATACATATAATTGACCTATAAAGGGCGCTTTAATTCAGGCTAAATTAAAATTCGATCAAGGAGTTAAATTGTACAAATATATACTTCATTAAAGATACAAAATGGTGTGGATAACTGAGAAAATTGAAATAGTT